ATATTTAAGGCTGCAGTCCTTGACCTTCTGAAGCAAGCGCTTCGGGTCCTCCTCAGTTTCCGCAAGCAGGGTTGTGTCTAACAAACACAGACGAAATGGAGATCTCTCTCTCTCTTTCTCTCTCTTCTCTCTCCCTCTCTCTTTTTCTCTCACACACACTCCACACACACACACACATTATCACACTATTTAAAAAAAAAATTACAGTCTACCTAATTGGCGGAATCAGTTCAACTGCTTAAAGAAAATATTTACCCTGTTAAATTGTATCATACTTGTATTTTCAGAAAAAATACTGGACATTCCAATAGCATCTGGATTTACAGAATATATGAATGGGTACAAGCTTGTAGATATATGTTTGTTTGTTTGTTTGGTCTTGAGTATCTAATTTTCTATTATATTAAGGACTCAAAAATATTATGCCAGTTATACATTACTGAATAAAAATGGAAATTGGCTATAAGAAGTGTGCCTTGAAGAAATCAATCCAAATTAAGCTTTATTCATTCTTCCATTAATAATGTACACTCTATTTTTGAGTATTTTTATTGATTAAGCAAAATTTATAGGGCCATAAAGTTGTCATTTCTAAGTTATAATAATAAGTTAAACTATAGAGTTACCAAAATTAGTTACATTGCTAGGTTTTATTAGGAAGCATATTATTGCAGAACTTACAGCCTCAATTCTAGAACTATCACTATTTCACAGATGAAAACCAAAATACACCATTACCAGTGCTTTTTGGAAATCATATCTTTTACAGGGAAGAGAATTTTTCAGTGACAAACAATGTTCTGAACCCATAACTGCTATAAATTCAAGGAATCCGGCTTCCCAGATAATAAAATCTACCTACTTTCTGAAGCTCTTTCCAAGAGTTAAAATTGCCTCAAGATCATCATGATTAAAAGAATATCTGATTTTATCTTACTTTTATCTTTATCATCATGGTAAATAATACCTTTAAAAATAAAAACTGACAATGAAAAAGTAACCACTCATAGAAAGAAAAATGAAAATGAAATATTTTATGTTCTGCTCCTGATTATCCTCGATAACTTTCCAACTGTTCAAGAGCAAGCAACAGCTTTGTATGCAATCAAAAGGTAGATCCATACATGGACTTTTTTTTTGTCTAATTCAAATAACAAAAATACAATGCAAATAAAATACCAATCTATCCCACAGGCCTAAAGATAGTTCATACAGGTGCTCCTAAGTGCCGGCTACCACTGATTTTTGAGGATATGAGTATCTTCCACCAAAGACTATCATCAGCTTCATCTCTTCTGCTTACTTACAACATACATCCTTACTTAACTGCTACGTAGTTCAACAATTTTAATAATTACATGTAACTTTAATTTTTTTCTTCATACTTTAATATGAAATACCTTAAAGGAAAAATCATTAGCAACTGAATCTCTTATGACAAACAACAGTATTTGCAACTATCTTATAAAAAAATACAGTAGGTTGAAAAGTCACCTATTCCTAGGAAAGAAAGCGAGCATTACAGTGCAATCATACAAGTGGCAAATAGAGTGCTGGGGGAGTGTTGACGCTTTCACAGCAAACCTCATCACACACAGAACCGCACTGTGGTGAGCAATACAAGTGAGCTATTTCAGCAAAAAGCAATGTGGAAAGTTGCTCCAGCCATGCTTTCACAGGGCACATCTATCTAAGAAGGGCTTATACATGTTGCACTTTAACAATTATGTTGTCCACTTTGACCAAGATGAAGTGTATGGGTATGCTTTTTATTTTTCCAGTAAAAGTAATTCTTGGGAAGAGTTCATTACATTCAACTCTCTTGTGACTTTGTAAAAGCATCTGGGAACACGGGAAGGAAACAAATAGAATAGATTAATAGACTACATTTAATATAAAAGCTTCAGCCTTAACAATCTTTTAATCATCTTCCTTCAGAGCAGGAGCTTAAATTTTGTTTATTTAGTAAACTTGATTTTTGTTAGCCACCTATAGACACGACCCTCAGAGTTCAAAGCAGGGAGGGCAACAGGCATGACAAGATAGGGCCGCAAAAAACAAGGGCTAACAAGCTACATAACTGCTGTTCCTAAGTGCCATGGAGTCAGCTATCAACTATGGCATATAGCAAACTTACATAATTAGTTCCTGTTTAATTGAGAGTTGACTGTAATTTATAACCTACTGAAATAAAAATACATATCATGCTTACAGCACACACCACTTGATGCTTAAAAAGCTTTTGTTTTTTTTTTTAAGGAATTCAACACAAAACTTAAAGTGCACTACATTCCTGCATGCCATGCTTCTCCCAAACCTTACCTAAGGAGGGTATCACCAGATAACTTATTAACCAAATTAAAACCAGAAGCTTGCATCCTGTGGAATTGAATTTATACTTCAAAATTCACTGGAAAAATAGATTCACTGTACAAATAAGACATTTCTAAGACAAGAAGTACCTAAACAGCATATTTAAAATGTAATCAAAGTATTGACAAAATTCTATCACAATAATTATGCCTTTTAAAAAACATATACTTGAGTTAAAGTTCACATATCTCACTAGGTTTTTCAGACAATCAATACACTATAATCTTGATTTTAGTCCATGTAAAAGAAAATTAAAAAATCCATGTTAAAGAAATAAAATAATAAAGAGGGGAAAAACTCAATCATTGCTCTTGACCACTTGACCCTGTATCTATAAAGTGCCCTTGTTAAGCAAAGTGTTCAGTGTCTATCAGCATTTATTGACCATCTCCCATCCCTTAGGGTCTATCCCATATTCCTTTTTTATACACAAAAATTATAAACTATTGATCCTACTGAATCATTTAATATATTTTTAAAATTATCTTCCACTCTATAAAATAACAGAAAGGATTTTAGCAATAACAAAAATTTACATGACACACAGAATATATTACCTAACATAAATGAAATAGAGTTGTCATCTAACCATGTGCCAATTAGTAACTCCTCATATAGTATCCATCCGTTAAGATGTACACACTGTAAACAGTTGACCTCAAAGCCATTAAATGGGATACAATCAAAATTCATGGTGCTCCTCTATTAATTCTAGGAGACTGACACAATTTCTTAAACAGAATTTTCTCCTTATGTTTATTCTTGAGGAGTCAAATAAGCAAACTGCTTCTCTTCTAAAAGCTTCAGAAAATACTTCCACTGCCATTGGGCTTATTCCAGCTCAAAGAAACCCTCTAACCAGTTTCTGAAGTTGTAAATCTTTGAGAGAGGAGACTGCTTGTCATTCTCCTGAAGAGCAACTAGTGGATTCAAACCTAAGTAGGGCCTTTTGGTTAACAGCATATCACCACTGCATCACACCTTTCTTTTCATGAGTCCCTATGTGGTGCAAACACTTTGTACTCCACTGTTAACCTAAAGGTTAGTGGCTCAAATCCAGCCAGTGGGACTACAAAAGGCTAGCAATCTGTTTCCTTAATTTTAAAAAATAAAAAGTTGCAAATCAGTTTATTCCAACTCACAGCAACCCCATAGGTCACCAAGTAAAATATCCCTATAGTTTGTTTTTTTTTTGTCGTAACCTTTACAGAAGCTTTTGCATATGTTTGAAGTACCAGCTTTTTTAGTAACAGACGATTGCGAACTCTATGAAGCACCGACCTCCACTAAGATTTCACCCAAGAAAAACGCTGTAGAGCAGTTCTGCTCCATGACACTTGGGGTCACTGTGAGGCAATGACAGCTGATAGAGTGAATCAACTCGGTGGTGGCCACCAAGGTCTCCCTGCGAGTTTTAGCTGAAATAACATTTGGAATTAATCTGAACTGTTGTGTTTTGGTTTTTTTTAATGATGCCTGGACATGGTTGTACAATAAATAAACACTTTTAAACTATTAATGACATTAACCAAAAAAGAATGTGCTGAGGGATGAAAATTTTATTTCCTTTTTTTTTTCTTTTCTGGAGGCTTTCACTAACTATGAACTATTTTCTTTGTAAGTCTACATTTCTCTTCTCAATTTTATTTACTTACATTGTCACCCTCACTTCTCAGCTTCCAGAAGGGATGAATATAAAACCAAGACCCTTCATTGCCTGCAGCATCCAATGACACACGCATAGCATTCTTCTCCAATAAAGCAGGCAATCTCTTGTTGACAGTAAGATATTTGTTGCTTTTTATATGCAGTAGCTGAAAGGAAAAGAGATTAGTTACCACTTTCATTCTTTTTTCTCCTCTGTTACATTTAAATAATATACACCCATGTAGTTGCCTACCATGTCTTGCATTTAGGTTTCTCCTCACCTCCATCCTTACTTCTCCTCACAAAGAGGGGCACACACAGAAACCCAACCAGGGAGACTCCTGAATAATTTCAATTTACTGATTAGACTCCCATGAGGCTTTCCAAATGACACCTAGAAATTCCCATAAACCACATTCCTTTTTGATACTTGTGCAACCACAGAAATAGAATAAACTAAAGAGAAATGAAAATGCTAAGATAATGCACCAGCTGATTGAGTATCGTTACCTATGCCCACTCATGTGTGCCCAGGCTCTCCCTCTATGAGAAAGCAGCCTCGCCTTTACACTCACTGGGAACCCTTCAGGACACAACGCACTGTCATCTAGTTGTCCCCAACTCATAGCTAACCCTTCAGTGCACTGTAACTCCTCAGAAGTCCCTGCAATCCCCACAAGATGATGCCAGTTTTACCCCTAGTGCAGATGAGTGGAGAAGCCCCGTTTCTCAGTGTTTGTATTCCATGGACAACTTTTTTTGTTTTCTTTCCCCATTGCTGGTAAGTCAATTCTACGGTAACTCATGATGTGTCAAGAGTAAAACTCTACTCCATTTGGAAGAAGATCACCAGGCCTTTCTTCCTAGACATCTCTATGTGAACTTAAACTACTGCTAACCTTCTCATTTCATTAACAGCCAGTGTATTAACCATCTGCACCATTCAGAGACTTCATTTCCAAAACTACAAATGATCAACATAGGGTTGAAATTTTTATATAAAGAACAAGAAAAATCAAAACAAGACACCATCCTATCTATTGTTACAAGCACTTTAAAAAATTCTTTTAATACCAAAAATATCTGAAGGAAATTATCTGAGAATGAAATGCCCTAGTTTTTTGAAAGCTCTATCATACCCTTGACTCCAACTCTAGCAAAGATCAGTAAGACTCCCATGGACTGACCCCAGTCCTCTGCCATCCACCGTGTTGGAGCACCTGACTGTGCCCCTACTGGGCCACCTAGGTATCTGAACATTAGGTACCTGACAAAGAGCATAAGCACCATTTGCTGCCACTTAATATCTAATAAGGGAGCTCTGGTGGCCTAGCAGCAAGAAACTGTGCTGCAATTCCAATAGCACACAGTTCAAATCCACCAGCTACTCCATGGCTATGGAAGGACAGGCAATCTCCTCGTGCCATTAACTGCCTCTGAAAACCCGCTGCAGGGTCAGCTATGGGTCTGTTCTGACTCCATGGCACACTACCAGCACCACAACAACACTATCTAATAAAAACTAGGTCAGAGAAAGAATATGTATTGACCAAGGGACAGAGTCCTGGTCATTTGGTGGTTAAAGAAGGAGGCTGCTAACAGAAACATCCTAAAATCCTAGCAGTTCTACAAATGAGGGATGTGTCAATCTGCTTCCCTAAGGATTACAGTTTTGGAAACTGTATTTGGCAGTGTGAACCTGTCCTGCACGGTTACTGTGCATCAGAATTGACTCAATGGCAGTGGGTTTGCATGGATTTGAGCCAAAGAACATGCAGCTTACTTAAAATGTAAGCAATACATTATCTTTTATTACTAAATCATATATTGAGAGAACTTCAAACCCTGGCTCTCTCTTCTTGTCCAATGAGAGAACTGCTTTGACTGCACTAAGTGTTGACATTCTGTCACTGGCTTATGACAAAATATCAGGGGATATTATTTTTACAAACAGCGCTATGAAAACCCTCATTGTAATATTTACTGTAAGGAAGTTGTGAAGGCTATTGTTCATGATGTTAAACAGTATCCTCTTTATGAAAGGTGATAGGAAAAACACTCCTCTGGTTTTATTCCTGAGGACAGTTGTACTCCTCGACCTCTGACTTAGTACTTAGTTAAGGACCTCCTATCTTAGTGCTAGAACGTGTTCTGCTCTCCTCATTGCAAAGAGGGGTAACAAAAATGATCCCAGCATTCACCAGATGGTCTGCCGGAGGAGGAGGGACAATTTCCTCCTGTACCATCAGATCCGATTTGACGGTACACACACAAAAATAATAAAAAAAATTTTAAAAAGAAGATTCCAGCAATGCTGACTAGACTTTGCAGTATGGCTCATACAAACATGACTCACTTCTGAGTTCATCTTATTGGGACAACCATCACTTTCTCTTCAGGCCAATGGTCTCAATTACCTTTTTTTAAAAAAAAAATTTTTTTATTTTATTATTTGTGTGTGTGCGTGTAGCGTCAAATCAGATCTGACTGGTACAGGAGGAGATTATCCCTCCTTTCCCGGCAGAGCATCTGGTGGATTCGAACCATGCTCCTCTGGGATTGCAGTGCAGCTTCTTGCCACTAGGCCACCAGAGCTCCCCTCAATTACCTTTTTATTATCTAGTTAGGTGATCCTCTTTTTTGAAGATGTCATACATTTTTGTGGAATAAGATGCAGCCTCTATTAGCAAATAGCCACAGAAAATGGTAAATAACCAAAGGAAGCACATGATAAGAATAGAGATAAGATAAACCTAAGTGTACAGAAAGTGTATTCAGTGTAACTGAAATAGCAGTAGCTACTCATGAAAAATCACCATCTAAAATTACAACTCACAACTTCCTTTGCTCTACAAAATGGAAAGATATATTTTGACATATTATAAATTATTCCATTACAAAGGAGTATTTTCTTATAATTCTTTAGGAATAATTTCTTCCCCCTCCACCTCGATGGAATGTTGTTGTCCTTATATGCTGCAGAGTCAGAAACAACTCAGCTTATCCTACAGCAGGTTTTCATAAGCTATTAATTGTATAAGAGGGGACTGAACATCTTTCTCCCACAGAGCAACTGGTGCATTTAAACCATGTGCCTTGGGCTTGGCAGGACAACTTCTTACCCCTAGGCCACCAAAGCTTTACATACACTCAGAAAGATTCTGTATACACACTAGACTCATTCCCAAACATACACAATAACATGCTGACTATCATCTAAATGTCATCATAGCTATAATTCTCAAAAAGAAAAAAACTGTTATATCTCACAATTTTAATGCTGTTTAATAATCAAACCAAATACAAAATACCCATAAAGTATTCACCTCTTTAAAGATTTAATGTAAATATTTTAAAGACTTACCTGTATAACATTACTATATTTTACAATTTCTCCCAACAGTTTCTTATTTTCTGACTCATTTTGTTTTTGTTCCAGTTCTGCAGCATGCTATAAAATAATTATTAAATATTAGTGTGAAGATGTAGTGAACAAAGTTCAGCAATTCACACGGATACAAGTATTAAAAAAAATTATGTATGCCACGCACTGATCTAGAAGCAAAGAATAAAACCATGAATAAAACAGACAGGTAGCTTAACTCTTGATGCTCTTAACTCTTAGGGGAGGGAGCGCCCATAGGGTGGCTAATTAAACTAATTATTATTATATAGTGTGATGATTATCTCAATATAATGCCAAATTGCAGCCACAGGAGGCCACTCATATGTTAGAAAGTTCAGAAAAGTGTTACATTAATCTTACAAATTATTTAAAGAGGGAATATTGCTAGAAAAACTAATCATAATAATCCATGAATTTCAACATCTAAAAAGTTTATTTGAAAATACCGGGAATTTTAGTGTCACATAAAATTAACTTCTTTCAAATTTACACTCGGTTAAACCCAAAACAATAGACTTTTTAAATTTTACTCCATATTCTTTCACGGGGGAAAAATTAAAACACTCGGCCAAGTAAAATATGATGGATTTGAAACCCAAACAAAGATTCTGGTTTTCCCTTTAATGGAAGTCTTTGCATTACTCTGAACCAAAAACCAAAACCACTGACATACCCTAAAAAAAAGGAGCAAGAATGTGTGGCTGACCTGGCAGGGAAAAACACTGTCATACCATATAATATAAGAAATGTACTTTACATTCAATGTGTTGGTAAATCTATTCTGACTCTTTGTGTACTGGGTCAGATGACAAAGCTAAAAAAACTGTAAATACTGATCTTCCATTAAGGCTGTTCTAAACAAGCCTGACCAAGGTAAAGGGAGGCTCTGCCGTTACCTGCAATTTCTTCAGCAAGGCTGCTTCCGTGTGGTTCCCCTGCTTGGCTTGCTTGGCTTTCCAATACTGTTTCTGGGCAGAATACCGGTTCATAGGGCACACCTTGAAAAGGCAGTCTAGGAGAAACCAAGAAAACAAAAACACTGTAGCTAAGGATACCGACAGCTCTCAGATCCTCTTTATAGCCTCGTATTTGGAAAAAATCTTTGAATCTATGACTATAAAGAGTGCTTAAAGATATCTAATCCCCCCTTTAGACAACTCTTGAATTCCGTCTACTGACAGACATCCTTTTCAAATAAATTTTAAGGCTCAGTTAAAATAATCATCAAAGTGCACAAGACTTAGAGATAATAAATGAAAACGCTGTTAAATTATAATAATACCCATCTTCAAGAACTAAACTTTTTAAAGAATAATATAGCCAATACAATGTTATAAATCAAACCAGCATAGTAAGGTGGACTAGAGTGGGGGAAGGGAGGAAACGGCAAGAGTGAATGAATTTTTTTAAAGAGAAAAGCAAACTGGGGGCAGAATATGGAGGAAAATGTGCAGCAATGGATTAATGAAAATACAAGTTTTCATACAAGTTTTAACATTTATATATCTGCAGATATATAAATCTTGCAAGTAGTGACTTTGGGGATAAATGACTAGGACAGTGTGATTGTACATCCTGCATTATCATGAATAAGTGACTAAATTATGCAAGGCCAGATAAGGCAGTGAAAGTAACTTACTTAATTTATCTATTTTCAAAGACCAGGCAACCCAATATCATTAAGAGGTGTTTATGGTGTAATGATTATACTGGGGGTTTTTTTTATTTTTTAATTTTTTTGTGATTTTAATCAATGTTTA